CTACGATTTTCACATGGACCGATGATATGGGGGGAAAATTGAGTTCCCTAAAGAAGGACGTTTTAATGCTCAAGAAGGCACTGTAGAATGTTTCTTTAGCTTCTGGCAGTGAAAACACTCAGAAAGCTAAGGTGTCTGACCCTAAGCCTTTCACAGGCAGTCGTAACGCTAAAGAACTTGAGAACTTTTTGTGGGATATGGAACAATATTTTAGAGCAATCCGTACACCGGATGCTAAAAAGGTAGATCTCACTAACATGTACATGTCTGGTGATGCGAAATTATGGTGGCGAACACAATCTGAGAGACAAGTCTGGTCCTCCAATTATGACTTGGTAGTCTTTGTCCGCTGAAATGAAGGAGTAATTCCTTCCAAGCAACACGGCTTGGCAAGCCTATGATGCATTGAGGAAACTTCAACATACGAGTATGATGAGGGAGTACGTGAAACAATTCTAGTCTCTGATGTTGGATATCAAAAATATGTCGGAGGAAGATAAGCTGTTCAATTTCATGTATGGCCTTCAAACTTGGGCGCAGGCTGAACTTCGTCGGTAAGGGGTGAAGGACTTACCCGCTACTATGTCCGCAACAGATGTGTTGGTTGACTACAAGACGCAGGCAAATCCTCCAGAGAAGGAATCAAAAAGGAAAACCAAGTTCCCTAAGAAGGACAAGCAGATTAAAAAGGCTGAGAAGTCTGGCAGTGCAGAAAAATAGACTGACAAGCCCTCTTCATTAAAGGGAGGTGCTGACTCAGGCTGTTTTATCTGTAATGGCCCTCATCGTGCTATAAATTGCCCCAAGATGTAAAAACTCAATGCCTTTATGGCTGAAGAAACTGACTGTTCTGACGAACCAACACGAGTCAATCCATTACAACTCCTTAATGCAATTCGCAAAGAGGAGACGGTGGCAAAAAGGGGGTTGATGTTTGTGCAGATTCACCTGAACAATGTGGTTGTCCAGGCAATGGTTGATACAGGTGTAACCCACAATTTTGTTTCTGATCGCGAGGTGCAGCGGCTTGGACTGGCTTTGGTGAAAGACTCTAGCCAGATTAAGGTTGTTAATTCAGAGGCAAAACTAGTAGACGGTGTTGCTAGAGAAGTCCCCTTAAAAGTCGGTGATTGGCAAAGACCATGCAATTTTATGGTAGTCCCTCTTGATGATTTCCAGGTAATCCTTGGACTGAAATCTCTTACGAAGGCAAAGGTGTCTGTTATGCCTAATTTTCATGGGATGTTCGTGATGGACATGCCCAGCCCCTATTTTGTTCCCCTTACCAAGACTAAGTCTTCGGGGAAAATGTTGTCTGCCATGCAAGTAAAAGATGACTTGCAGAGAGGAGAAGCAACATACTTGGTCGTTCTGTTTGAGGAAGAGGAGTTCAAAATAGTGCAAGTTCTTAAACCAGTGCAACAGTTGCTGGCTAAATTCAAGGACGTGGCACCCAAAGAATTGCCAGCAAGATTACCACCAAGACAGGAGATTGATCATGCCATCGAGTTGATTCCGGTGGCAAAAATCTCTGCCCAAGCTCCTTATCGGATGTCTCTATCAGAGTTCGCAGAGCTAAGGAAACAACTTGGGGGTCTATTGGACGTTGGGTTCATTAGACCTTCCAAGGCACCCCATGGAGCCCCTATTCTGTTTCAGAAAAAGAATGATGGATCCTTACGGCTTTATGTTGATTACAGAGCTCTCAACAAAGTTACTGTCAAAAACAACTATCCAGTGTCGCTTGTTGACGAATTGTTTGATAGATTGGGGAAGACAGTCTTTTTCACCAAGATGGACGTGCAGCTGGGATATCATCAAATCAGAATTGAAGAAGGAGCTGAGGCAAAGACCACTTGTGTGACGAGGTACGGTTCATATGAGTTTTTAGTCATGTCTTTCGACTTAACAAATGCCCCTGCTAAATTTTGTAACTTGATGACCAACGTATTCTGGGAATACTTGGACAAATTTATGGTTATTTATCTAAATGATATTGTTGATTATAGCCAGACTTTTGAAGGGCATGTTGAGCACCTTAGGTTAACTTTGACAAATTTGAGGGAAGTACAGTTGTATCTGAAACCAGAAAAATGTGAGTTTGCCCAAAAAGAAATCTCATTCCTCGGGCATATTATTTCTGCGGGTGTGATGAAGATGGACCCAAAGAAAGTTGAGGCCATTGCTGATTGGCCTGTCCCTACTAAGGTTACAAAACTGAGATCTTTCCTTGGTTTGACGAATTATTATAGAAAATTCGTGAAAAATTATTCAAAGAAGGTGGCTGTGTTGATAGATCTTCTAAGGAAGGATAGGACATGGAACTGGTCGTACAAATGCCAGGAGGCATTCAATCAATTAAAGGCAGTGGTGACAACTAGCCCAATTTTACGATTGCCTGACTTTGATTTGCCTTTTCAAGTCCATATAGACGCATCAGACTTTGCTCTTGGAGGGGTACTAATGCTGAATAGACATCTAGTGGCATTTGAAAACAGAAAGCTGAATGATACTGAGAGGCGGTATTCTGTGCACGAAAAGGAGATGACGGCAGTCATTCACTGCATCAATGCATGGAGGCATTACCTATTGGGAGAGCACTTCCTGGTGTTTACAGACAATATGGCTACCAGCTACTTCAATTCCATGAAGAAGTTAACACCAAAACAAGCAAGATGGCAGGATTTTCTTGCTCAGTTTCATTTCACGTTACAGTACAAGCCTAACAGTGCAAATCAGGTTGCTGATGCCCTTAGTCGGATCCCAGTTGCTGATGGGGCGATGACTGCACTTATCTAAATTGCAGGAGATATGCTACAAAGAATTTAGGATCAGACAAAGGATGATCTTGTGACCAGCTTACTGCTGAAGTAGGTCCAAGAGGGGGTGACTCGATGGTTTTGGGTAGAGGATGGTATTCTCTACGCCAAAGGAAGAAGACCCTATGTTTCGAAGTCACGTGGACTTTGACAGATGTTGCTGCAAGAAACTCATGATGTTCTATGGTCAGGACATCCAGGGCAGCAACGGACCCTTGCATTGCTAGCAAAAAATTATTATTGGCCCTGTATGGAAGCAGATGTTGAGCTGTATGTGCGCACTTGTCTTGTATGCCAGCAGGACAAAATAGAAAGGAAGAAGGTGGCAGGTACGTTGGAACCCTTTCCTATTCCAAGTAGACCTTGAGAGAGTGTTTCCATAGACTTCATCAATGACTTGCTTAAGGTGAATGATTTTACTTCGATATTTGTGGTTATAGACAGATTGTTGAAGTATGTTACTTTCATTGCAGCTCCAAAAGTATGTTCTGCTGAAGTTACTGCTCAGTTGTTCCTTAAGCATATTGTGAAGCTTTGGGGTCTTCCGCTGGATATAGTCAGCGATAGAGACACTCGGTTTACTGGCCGGTTTTGGACTGCCTTATTTGAACTGTAGGACGCACAGCTCAACCTTTCCACCAGCAATCACCCGCAGACAGATAGGCAGACTGAGCGGGTTAATGCAATGCTGGAGGAATATGTCAGACACTATATCATAGCAAACCAGGATAATTGGGTGGATTTACTTGAAGCAGCCTAATTCAATTATAATTTGCAGCAAAGCTCTTCCACTGGAATGAGCCTATTCAAGTTAGCAACCGGCCAATAGCCTCTTACTCCCCACGAAGTTGCGAAGCAGAAGTCTCAAGGGAGATGTCCTACAGCATATCGTTTTGCTTAGGCAAACGAGGAAAGGATTGACAAGGCAAAGGACTGCCTGACTAAGGTAGTGAAGAGGATGACGAAGTGGGCAGTTGAATTCAAAGTGGGTGACAAAGTGATGCTGAAACTGACCCCACCAATCTAGAAGAAGATCACTCGGAAGTCTGCACATAAGGGACTGATCCAATGCTATGATGGCCCTTTCCTTATCATAAGAAGGATTGACAAGTTGGCGTATAGGCTGGATCTTCCCAGTCGTCTCAAGCTTCATCCAATTTTTCACGTTGCCTTCTTGAAGCCATACGTTGAAGACCCAGAGGACCCTAGTAGATATGTTCGGCGTCGGGCACATCCAATAATCAGGAAGCAATTCACAAAGATAGCAGAAGCAATTCTTGACCACAAGACTGAGGGAATGAGTAAGAAAAATAGAAGAACTCATTACCTAGTCAAGTGGAAAGGAAAAGCACTAGAGGAAGCCACTTGGGAGAAAGAGACGACACTGTGACAATTCGAGGATCTTATCGGGCAGTACCATGCCTCCATTTCAATGAGGTCGTTGGATACTTCAAGTGGGGGTGGCTTGTGACACCCTAATTGACTTGGGTGCATAATGGCGGTCTTGGTGGCACTTTACACCAAGGCATGCCATGAGATTGAATCAAAGTGATGCGGCTAAGTGGTTAGACAAATTGGTGCAGATTGTGGCAGCATGAGACCANACACTTTACACCAAGGCACGCCATGAGATTGAATCAAGGTGATGCGGCTAAGCGGTTAGACAAATTGGTGCAGATTGTGGCAGCATGAGACCACCCGGTTGAGCATGGCAGCACGTGGTGGACTCAATTGAGGCAATGTAGGTGCATAGCTTCGTATTGCATGGCATGAGCTGAACCTAGCATGCACAATGGTTCATGAGGCAAGTCTGACTACTGAATATGGGCACATGACTAGTACATGACTGCTCAATGCATGTAACCAAGAGGATGTGGGCAGTTGCATGCAGTTGCTGAACAAAGCTTAGTCTGTGGGAAGCAGTTCTATGCATTCCTAGCCTGATTCTGGTCCAAATGCATGCTAACGAGGGGCAATTCCACACCAGTTACTAAATGGGTAGAACTGTCTGCCAGATGTTGCACAGAGATCAAACCTGCTGGCCAAGTCTGCTATGGAATAACAGAATATAGGTAACTACCCTTTAGCAGATGGGGGTGTCATCTGCCATGATCTTGTATAAATATGAGTGCTTAGGCATTTTGATAGTCAGAGAGACTGTTTTGACTTTGAGAGTTCCTTGTAAATTGTTGAGTTCAATATATAAGGTTTGGGAGTGTTGTCCCAATAAATTCGTGTGTACCTTCTGTATGAGTTTCTGTCGCTTGTTCTTGAGATTGAGTGGTTGGTTGTAGTAGCAACGCCTTTACAAGTAGCCTCGAAACAAAAAACGAGTTGTTATCCCGTGACAGGTAGCGACGTTGCCAGAATGTCATCAATCTTTTGACTGATTGCAAATACTTGCGAGTTGTCTATCGTTCATAACATGGGCCACGTTGTTGGTATAGATCTTCTCACAAGCAGAACATTCATGGATACCAACCATAGTAACACCAATAGGCCAGGGTGCGTTTCCAATAGCCATTTTGATATAGTGATTCATTCCAGCTAGGTAGTTTCGCTTCAGGTAACATTCAACAACAAGGAGCAACGCTTGTCGAATATTATCTGGAAGAACCTACAAAATAAATTACATCACATATACGGTACACTTTAGTTAATTAATATTCCGAAGTTCAAAACCATCATAGCAAATAAGCAAAATCCATCCAAGGACAATGCAATGCATGAAGGTCTGGGAGCTGTTCTACAGAACAGTGGAGTGTATGAAGGTCCAGTTTTTTTTCCTAGTCAAGATTATATTAGGTCCATGGTAAGTGAAGCTAGGTTCAGGTACTATGGTGAGCCGTATTATTACTATGAGGGACTTTCAGTAATGGTACAGATTAAAATTACATCAATAACCAAACTCAGGTAGCTAATTTGTAACACTAAGACCACTGCAAAATCCTTCTCAGTAGGTCTATTCTGCCCAACTCCCACCTCCGATATCCCAAGTGATTTTTTTTTTCTTGTGAAGAAACCAAAACTGCAAAGATTGAATGTACCAAGTCACCAACACATAAAGGAAGTACCAAAACCAAAAGGGACTAACCAATACTTTGTTGATCTGAGATGTTTTCCATAACAACTAAGCATAACGTGCTTCCAAAAAAAATATTTGTTAATCAATTTAAATCTAAAGAATTCTAAATAGAAAATAATGTTATCTACCACCTTCAAAAAAGAACTGCAAAGAAATCCACCTAGAAATAATATTGCTTGATTACCAGAGGCCTACTTTATTCTAAAAATCTAACAAGACTTCACTCTTCAACATTTGACACAAGTATTGCACACTACCAACATCTAACCTTACAAAATCAAGAAATCTATAATTGAAGCTGATCAAGCCGCTAATGATCCTTTTCATAGGTTGATAGCCATGGGCATTTTAGGTAAAATCGTAATACTTGGAGGCCTAGTGTGGACTACTCCTGTAGTAAAAATTATCAAAATACATTTCTTTAATCGAGCAACAGATTCAATACTTGAAAAATTAAAACGATATATACTACTGAAGCCGATCAAACAACTAATGATTCCATTGTTTTCGTTTAAGCCATGGTAACATCAGTATATTAGATGAAAGCTTAACACTTAGAGATACTCATGAAGTAGAAAACAATAAGGGCAATTTCCTTAAATGAGCGACACTAATCCTTACTCTTACCAGAAGTTTTGCAAATAACTTTCGGTGATAGATAATTTAGCCAAAAAGAAAAGAAAAAGGAATCTAAAATTTCTCAATACACTTCACAAAAGAGCTAACCAATGACAATCCTACACAACTATAGACAAGTAGCTACATATCATACTCAAGGGTGAAGCGATAGGTTCTATTTATGAACCTATATTGTTAGATAAATTCCACAACTAAAGCTGCATTGATGAACAAATTAACAACACTAATTATTCACTTCATGTAAGATTGATATTCCTAAAAATGGGAAGGGGGGGGCGGGAAGAAAGTGCAAACATAATTGCTAAGCACAACATAAAAATCTAAATAAAGCAACGAAACTATACCATCACACTCACCTTCTTCCTGCGGAACTTGAAAAGCGGATTCAAGTACCTCGCACACTGCTTAAACGTCGCAACCATGGATTTTCCTTTGGCTGTCCTCTTCTCTGCCTCAGTCACATCATCCAACTCTTGATTCCACTCATTCAACAACCTCTTCAAAGACACCAAAATCTTATCTTTAACACACAAATCCTCAAAATTCGCCTTCATCCGTTTCAAATCCTTGTCATGATCCACCCCCGATGACGCCTTATCCCCACTCAAATCCTCATCCCCTCCTCCACCCTCCTTATCCTACCCATCCTCCATTGTCTTCCTTTTCCTATCACTCAAATCCCCGTCTTCTGCCTCTTCTTCCATTCTACAATATCACGTAAAAAATCGTTTGTTTACCCCTCTGTGTATCACTATCATCGAGTCAAACAATCCCGCTTTTAAAACATATTTTAATCCATCGAGTCTGGCTTCGTCGTCTTCGCCGAATAAAGTGACCGGTTGTTTGAGGAATCGGAGGCGGCGAATGACCTCTTGTTTCGGAAGGTTGAGTTCGTCGATTTTTTGTTCATCGATTAGGGATTTGGACGAGAAAGTAGCAGATCCGGCTTTGGATTTGAGGATCTCGGTTTGGAGTTAGGGTTCGACGAAGAATTGGTGTTAGGTTCGTTTTGTTGGCCTCGTTGCTTTTGACGGAGAGCTTTGGCCTCGGACTCGTGCTTTTCTTCTTCTCGGAGCTTTTGGAGGCGTTTCTGTTCGATTTCAGAGCGCNGTAGATGAAAGCTTAACACTTAGAGATACTCATGAAGTAGAAAACAATAAAGGCAATTTCCTTAAATGAGCGACACTAATCCCTACTCTTACCAGAAGTTTTGCAAATAACTTTCGGTGATAGATAATTTAGCCAAAAAGAAAAGAAAAAGGAATCTGAAATTTCTCAATACACTTCACAAAAGAGCTAACCAATGACAATCCTACACAACTATAGACAAGTAGCTACATATCATACTCAAGGGTGAAGCGATAGGTTCTATTTATGAACCTATATTGTTAGATAAATTCCACAACTAAAGCTGCATTGATGAACAAATTAACAACACTAATTATTCACTTCATGTAAGATTGATATTCCTAAAAATGGGAAGGGGGGGGCGGGAAGAAAGTGCAAACATAATTGCTAAGCACAACATAAAAATCTAAATAAAGCAACGAAACTATACCATCACACTCACCTTCTTCCTGCGGAACTTGAAAAGCGGATTCAAGTACCTCGCACACTGCTTAAACGTCGCAACCATGGATTTTCCTTTGGCCGTCCTCTTCTCTGCCTCAGTCACATCATCCAACTCTTGATTCCACTCATTCAACAACCTCTTCAAAGACACCAAAATCTTATCTTTAACACACAAATCCTCAAAATTCGCCTTCATCCGTTTCAAATCCTTGTCATGATCCACCCCCGATGACGCCTTATCCCCACTCAAATCCTCATCCCCTCCTCCACCCTCCTTATCCTACCCATCCTCCATTGTCTTCCTTTTCCTATCACTCAAATCCCCGTCTTCTGCCTCTTCTTCCATTCTACAATATCACGTAAAAAATCGTTTGTTTACCCCTCTGTGTATCACTATCATCGAGTCAAACAATCCCGCTTTTAAAACATATTTTAATCCATCGAGTCTGGCTTCGTCGTCTTCGCCGAATAAAGTGACCGGTTGTTTGAGGAATCGGAGGCGGCGAATGACCTCTTGTTTCGGAAGGTTGAGTTCGTCGATTTTTTGTTCATCGATTAGGGATTTGGACGAGAAAGTAGCAGATCCGGCTTTGGATTTGAGGATCTCGGTTTGGAGTTAGGGTTCGACGAAGAATTGGTGTTAGGTTCGTTTTGTTGGCCTCGTTGCTTTTGACGGAGAGCTTTGGCCTCGGACTCGTGCTTTTCTTCTTCTCGGAGCTTTTGGAGGCGTTTCTGTTCGATTTCAGAGCGCTTGAAAAACTTCTTGCCGCCTACATCTTGGGCTAGGCTCTATCGCTCCATCAGCAACTAATGTCCATTGATAAACTGATTTTTGTTGGGGCGTAACACTTAAACCGTCGATAATCTCGGTTAATAACTCTATATAATAAAGTATAATATAATTCAAATTTTAAAAAATAAACAAAATAATTTTTGTTATTCGCGACTAAGATATCTTAAAATTTTACTTTAAAGTTAATTTAATAGCTAATATTAACACCATAAATTTAATAAAAAAAATAGACTCCTAAATGTGTGTTTGAAGTGACTTTTTAAAAATATTTCTACAAATTATTTCTCATAAGTATTTTTTAAAAAAACAAATACTGTTTGGAACCGCTCCACCATCATCTGTACCACCATCACCCCCTCACCGCCACAACCACCGCCACCACCACCACCACCACTGCTGCCACTACCACCTTTGTTGTCGCAGTCGTAGCAACAACCACCACCATTGTTGTCGCCGCCACTATCACCACCACCGCCACCGCCTCTATCATTATTGCGTCCACCATCGCCTCCACCACTGCCATCGTCGTTGTTGCCACCACCACCACCACCACCGTTGTCGCCGCCGCCACCACCATCATCATCATCGTCGTCGTTGCCACCACCACAATCATCGTCGTCGCCCTCTCCACCACCACGATCATTGTCACCCACCACAACCATCACCATCTCCTACCACCACCACTACCGCCCACCATTTCTCACCCCCACTACAAAAATGATGGTTAAATTCTTTTATCTCTTCTTTATATTTGTGATTTAATTTTGAATATGAAAATAAATATGTTTATTTTTTATCATTTTTTATTATTTTGTGCCTTCAGGCACAGACAATAATTAGTTCATTAATAAATTACAACCAAATCCCCTAAAATTTATAAGAGTATAACACTTAGTACTCTCAAATTTAAAATATTATACTTAAACTCTTTATTAGTTACGAAACAAACAAAATTTATTAAACTACCAAATAATCTCAATTAAAGATATAAAATATTGTGTCCATTATAGTTTAATTTTTTTGCTTTATTCTAATAGATAGTATAATTGTATACAAATAAGTGTTGAATTAAATTTTTTGATATATTTATATTAATTACTATTTTTCTCAAAAATTAGTATTTTATTTAGTCTTTATGTCAATAGATGATATAATAGAATATGCAAATATATTGATTAAGCTTATTTCATATGTTCGTACTTGATGATGAAAAAATTGACATAAAGTAAAAAGTCTATTTAGTACAAGTCTAAATTGACATGGAGGTCATCCAAGTTTTGGCATTTTTTATTTTATTTCAATAAATGACATAATAAAATATGAATTTTTGTTGTAAAATTTAAAATATTTGATATTCTATCTTTAATTAGAATATATTTATTAGAACCAAAGAAAAAAGAATTGCACTTGATTGAGATTCTCCAAAATTCTTCTTAACACACGACTTGGCATGCACTTGATGCTGCTGCTATAAACTCAGCTTCGGTGGTGGAGAGAGTAACAACTCGTTGTTTTTTTGAAGACCAAGAAACAGTTCCTACGCTCATTTGAAAGACATAGCTTGAGGTGCTCTTTCTGAGATCCTGATCACTAGCATAATCGTTGTTTGTGTACCCGATGATCTCTTCACTTCCTCCCTTATAGTAGAACACCCCAATACTAATCGTACCCTTCACGTACCTCATAACTCTTTTTGTTGCCAGCAAGTGAGACTCAGTAAGACGCTCCATGTACCTACTGATCAAGCTGACAATAAACATCATATCAGGGCGTGTGGAAGTTAAATACATGAGACTTCCCACCACTTGCTTGTAGACAGTACTATCAACTTCAACTCCCTCTTCATCTTTTTGTGAGTTTAAAACCAAGGACCACTAGATTGTGTACTAAGTTGCACCGATCCATATTGAACTTCTTCAATACCTCTTGAGCGTACTTCCATTGACTAATAAAAATACCATATGTCCTTTGTAACACTTCAATACCAAGAAAATACCTCATTATTCCAAGGTCAATCATGTCAAACTCAATCATCATGGATTTCTTAAAAATTTTGAACATCACTTTATCATTGCCAGTAAAAATGAGGTCATCAACATAAAGACACACAATTAAAATTTTACATCCACCCGCAATTTTAATGAATAAAATGTGCTCGTAGGGACATTTGGTGAAGCCTTCTCTGATAAAATATGCCTCAATGCAACTATACTAGGCTTGGGGAGCTTGTTAGAGTCCATACAAAGTCTTTTTGAGTCGATAATCCTTGGATTCATGCCCCTTCTATTCATAACCTGGAGGTTGATCAACAAAGACCTCTTCATTGATTTCTTCATGTAGAAACGTCGACTTGACGTCAAGTTGATAGATCACCCAGCTTTCTTAGCAACAAGGGATATAACAATTTGAATGGTGTCCAAGTGAGCCATTGGTGCGAATACTTTAGCATAATCAATTCCATATTGCTGACAGTACCCCTTAGCGACTAGCCGAGCTTTGTGCTTGTATTTCTTGATCCATAACTTGCCTCCATTTCTTAGACTTCACAGCTTTTTCAAATGTCATGGGATCCCTGTCAATGAATAAGGCCAAATGTGTCATGTTTGCACTTTCTTCATCAGAGAGACATTGGCCAGTTTCATAGTCTCTCATCCAAACTAGTGGCCTCCTAGCTTGTCCTTTACGTTGTGAGTTCTTAGCATTTGGAGTGTCTCCCCCATTTTAATCAGACTTAGATTCAGTCTCTCCAGGCTCTTCATCAGCTTCAGACTTCTCTTCATTACTCTCATCTTCTAGACCTATTTCTTCACCAATTTCTCACTTACGATCAGCTAATATGGCTTGCTAATGACTATCATCCCAACTCCATTTTTGATCTTCTTTAAACACCATATCTCGGTTGACAATTATTTTATTTGAAAGAGGATCAAATAATCTATAAGCTTTAGATTCGTCACTCACCCCTAGCAAGACGCATTTGAAACTCTTAGCATCGAGCTTCACTCTTTTGTTGTCTCGTACATGCACGTGGGCAATGCATCTAAAAATTCGACAATGATCTACTGATGGTTTGAGCCCACTCCACGCCTCCTCAGGTGTCTTGCTCTTCACGGCAAGAGTTGAACAACGATTTAGTACATGCACAATCCAGTTCATAGCTTTAGACCAGAAGGTTTTGGGAATTTATTTTGCTGACAACATACTTTGCACCATATTCATTATGGTACAATTCTTCCTCTATGCGACGCCGTTTATTTGAGGAGTATAGGCAACCGTCAGCTGTCTATGGATTCCATTTTCATTATAGAAATTTGTGAACTCCTGTAATGTGAACTTTCCCCCATGATCTATTCTAAGACTTCATATGAATGTCCCGATTTCCTTCTTAACTCTTGCTTTGTAGGACTTGAATGTAGCAAATTCTTCTGACTTCCGCACCAAGAAATAAACCCAAGTTTTTCTGCTGAAATCATTAATGAAGATGATGAGATACCGTTTCTCACTGTTTGAAATTAGGTTAATTGGTCCACATATGTTAGCGTGAACTAACTGAAAAATGTTGGAGGCTATCCACATGATTTTATTGGAAAATCGATCACGGTGTTGCCTTTTTACCAAGCAATCTTCACACACCCTTTGAGAGGCTCTAAACTGAGGTAATCCTTTCACCATGTTCTTCTGTTGGAGCACTTTGAGTCCATTCCAGCTGAGATGCCCATATTGACAATGCCAAAGGTTTGCTTGATTTTGTGGTCAGTGTGGAGAACTATTGTTGTTCCTTTGGTGAGCAATGAGCAAGCACAACAAACATCCTATTATGTGTCATCTTGGTTTCCAAGATTAAACCTTTCTTAGAATGAAAGACTTTGCAGGTTCCATGTTGGAACAACAGTGTCATCCATTTTTCTTGCAACTGGTTGATGCTCAACTGATTGTTCTTCAAATCTGGTACATAGAAGACTTCTATAATCATAAGCACAATCTCATTTATCCCCATTCGAACCTTACCCTTGCCTTGTATGATAAGACTCGAATCATTGCCCAGCTTCACCGATCTAAAGCTGCTATCAATCTCACAGAACATGTCTTTGTTGCCACACAAGTGGTTACTACAGCCAGAGTCAAGAAACCAAATATGTTTGGATGCAGCTTGCTTGAAATCCATGAGAACCATCAATAGCATCTCCTCTTTTGCGTCTACATAATTTGTTGTTTATTCCTTGGCTCTCTTAGGAAATTCTCATTTAAAATGCCCTAACTCATGACAATTGTAACACTCTATGGTAGATTTGTCGAACCCAAACCTACGCCTTCCTCTTCCTCTTCCTCGGTATGAGCCTTAACCTCCACCTCTTCCTTCTTGCTGGGTTCCATGAGTGACTTGAAGAGTTTGTTCATCTTCC